AGCATATGGAGCAGAGGTCCATCAGTGGCTATTAGCCACAAGGTATAGATAGGGACTCTGGGGCAAGTGATGCTCTGTCATCTTGGTGCTTGGGGGGGGGGTCAACAGTGGGAGGGCTTCTAATGTCCTGGCCCCACTGGTGGACCTCCTGATGGCACTGGTATTTCTGGCCACTGTGGGATACGGAGTGTTGGACTGGATGGGCCTTTGGCCTGATCCAACATTGGCATCTCTTATGTTCTTATGTTCTTATGAGGGGTCAACAGTGGGAGGGCTTCTAGTGTTCTGGCCCCACTGCTGGACCTCCTGATCACATCTGGTATTTTTGGCCACTGTGTGACAAAGTGTTAGACTAGATGGGGCATTGGCCTGATCCAACATTGGCTTCTCTTATGTTCTTATGTTAGGGGCAACCCTGCACACAGGCAGGAGCTTCTAGTAGAGAACCCAAACATTGTATCGAACTAACTCATTTTCTGCTGGGCCTCTAAAAAACATATTAACTATTTCCAGTCATGATTCACTACTACTGAACAGCTAACAAGAGCAATACCAGAAATGTTCAGGACCCCTGCACTTCCTCACAGTGGGTGGAGACTACATGCCATTGCTATGGAGAGGGAAGGAGTTAAAGACATGGAGCAAAACAGTCCACAGGCCTAAGAAAATTCTGATGCACAACAATGAAATAAACATGGGTTTTTTTGTAGAAAAAGCCCAGCAGGAACTCATTAGCACAATAGGGTACACCCAACAGCAGAAACTCATTAGCATATTAGGCCACACAACTGACAGCACAGCTCCCTCCCAGGATTGGCTTCCCCAGGTGCCCCACATCTTGTGGGACCTTTCTCTGTTTCCTCCAGACTCCAGCAGGCCTTCCAAGGAGATGGAGGAGAGAGGCTGGAAGTGCACCAAGAGGAAGAAATGGAGGTACACCCTGAGGTGCTGCCACCTCAAACTCTTGTCCCTTGGATTACCAACATTTCAGAATTCCCCCAAACAAACCAAAACTCCCTCAATCCACATCACAAAATAATCTCTCCTTAAATATAATTGAATAGTGGGTGCCAAAGTTCTAATTCTAAAATGCACTCCCTTAGTGTATGGCTGATGGCACTGCTCCTCAGCATATATCGCCACCAATCAGAAGGCAAAGCCCGGGTCCCGCCCACACCACAACTGCTGCGACAACCTGGTCTTTTGCATATGGAAGCTGATTGGACTTCAACCCCTGGAGAAAATGGTGGGCTCTGTATCCTTATATGCTGCTGAAGTGGCCCCCATGACAGCCAATGTGACGTAGAAGTCAGGGCTTCAGAGCACGGGAGAGGCTGCAGGTGTGTGGGGGGTGGAAATCTGAAGAGTGAGGGGGGAAATAAAGGTAGGTTGATGATTGGCTGGGAAGGAGATAGGGTTGCCAACTCCAGGTGGGAAATTCATGGCGATTCGAGGGATGGAGCCTGGAGAGGGTGAGGTTTCAGGAGGCGTGGAACCTCGGACGCGTACAAAGCTATAGACTCCACCCTCCAAACCAACTATTCCCTTCTGGGGAACCACCATTGCCAATCCCCAGGTGAGAACTGGAGATCACTCAAAATTACAACTGTTCTTTAGGTAGCAGAGATCAGTTCCTCTGGAGAAAATGGTGGACTCAGTGTCATTATACCCTGCTGAGGTTGCCACAGCAAATTGACACTGAGTGTCCAAGGCCAGGGCACCCGCCCAGAGCCTCTTTCTAGAGGTCGTTGTATTTATTCCCACAACGAGCCTTTTTCCTAGTATTATTATAAAACATATGCTTACTATGAAATCAGTTGGTGATTTTCACCTGCCTTAACAGCAGCACCACAGTGTTTCTTCAACAGAAGAGTTGCTTTGCAACATCCACTGTTGGCTCTTGTCATGTTATGATGGCTGAATAAATGTACCATGGGTCAAATTATAGCAACATGTATATATGTCATGAGGTTCTCAATAATATCTACAGGAGTTGCAAAACTATTAATTCAACTTGAAGTGTCTTTGGCCCTTTCTACACTCTTTTAATCCATGTTCACGGCAGTGTCCTCCAAGCAATCCTGCACTCCAATCAAATTCAACCTTTTTAGTCTAGGTTTTCCCCCCATTCTGCAGTATAACTGAGTTCAACTTTCTTTTTATTCCATCCCCCCCTTTCTGCACTACATTACCTTTCAGTGGTCAGCCCGGTTTCAGCCTGCTGTTGCTGCAGGTTATTTGGATGCTGTTTAACAATGGACTTAAATTGCCTCGACTCAAACTCTGAGAAAATCTGGAGTGGCAAGCAAATGCGAAAAGGACCTTAATCTCTACCTGCTGCTAAGTGTGCCATAGTGCCATAGAAAGAGAGCAAAGGTGTCAGTCTTTTTACCTCTCTTCGCAAGCATGCTGAGAGGAACAGGGTGATATATGCAACATGAAGATGAGTCTCCTGAAGCACTAGTGGGTTCAAAAACCCTCTTCCCCTGCAACAGGAAACCCTTGCCTCCTCTCTCTTTTTCCCAGCTGAACACTTTTGTTGTTCAGTCGCACAGTCGAGTCTGACTCTTCACGACCCCATGGACCAGATCACGCCAGGCCTTCCAGTCTTCCGCCGTCCTCTGAAATTTGCTCAGCTTCATGTTCATTGCATCTATGACACTGTCTAACCATCTCATCCTTGGCCGTCCCCATCTTCTTTGACCTTCAATCTTTCCCAGCATCAGGGTCTTCTCCAGTGAGTGCTCCCTTCTCATTTGGTGGCCAAAGTATTTGCGCTTCAGCTTCATTACCTGGCCTTCCAGGGAACAGTCAGGGTTGATTTCTTTTAGGATTGACTGATTTGATCTTCTTGCAGTCCAAGGGACTCTCAAGAGTCTTCTCCAGCACCATAGTTCAAAAGAATCTATTCTTCGGCGCTCGGCCTTCCTTATAGTCCAACTCTCGCTGGACGCTAGTAGACCCTTCTATAGCCTTCATGTACTTGCCCTGTGCAGCCCAGTTCCCTCTGGGGAAATCAAAGGTCTGGCTGCAACTCTTCGTTTCACATCATGCTGATGTTGTGTGTCTTCCTGTCACCTGGTTGCAGCCCAGCCTATCCTCTGCTATTGCCTGGCCATTAAATGTGGGTCCCACTCCAGCAAAGGTTCCATGTTTTTAACTGCAATTTTTGCACCATGGTGGTGCCACATAGCTCTAGATCTTTTTCCTAGTACAGTCCATGGACATAGTTATGATGGAGGTGAAATGCTGGTGAATTTCAGGAATTCCATGTAAAAAATAATGAGAACCAATTCTTACACGTGCATGTTTTTTGCACCACGACGAGGTAGAAAGAGTATACAATGAAGAGAGCCTGTATACCCAAAAAATCAAAAATAAAATTGTAATAAGCCAGCCAATACAGCTTTAAATTCACGGTAGACTTATGGGGCAACCTAACGAGGAACCAGGTACATTTGGTGGGTATGTTTTTATTTTTTTTGGGGGGGGGAGCGTGAGAGAAGCCGAGGAAAGGCGGAAGGCACTTCTATCTAAGAAAATAAAACCTGATCAGGTACTTAACTCTCCTTCCCCTTTGCAAGGAGAATAAACAGAGCCTCTCGCGGCGCGGGAAGGAGAATCAGTCAATAAAACGCTCCTGCGGGAGGAGAACTTTGTAGGTGCGGCGCAAAGTTCCTAAGGCGCTGGCCTGTCCTGCACGTCAAAGGTAACCTGAAGGCGGAGGCCCCGGCGTGGAGGCAGCCTTCCGAGGCGCTGGCCGCCTCCCTCTTTGGCCGTGCCCGTGTGAACGTCTCTTTCTCTCGCGGTACAGTCAGCGGCGAGGCAGCCGGGAAGGGCGTGTAAATCCCCAACGTATCTCCTATCTGCCCAGCGCAGGGCGGGGTTCGGACCACTCCCTGCCCAGGTAGAAAGAAAGGGAACAAGAAGACGAAGACAACCCCAATTAAAATGCTCGCTCTGAAGAGCCGCGGCAGGAGACGCTCCGCCCCTGGTGTTGCCCCGCCCTTTCGATGAGCCAGGTCCTCCTGCGGACGGGAGGAGACAGCCCCGGAGCCCGCCGGACTAGTGTGTGTGGAGAGAAAAAGTGCGAGAAAAGAAAGTCGCGTCCTGCCGCCCGTCCACTAGCACCGCCGCGAGCCTCGCTCTGCAGCTGCCGAGGCGGGCTGGGAGGCACCCACCGCCACAACCTCACCTGGGCGCCGTCGCGCGGCGCTTGCCCCCGTCCTAGCCCGGCAAGCCTTTTTCCCGCCAAGCCCCCTCCCACCGGGACATGGCCCCGCTAGGAAGACCAGGGCACGGGGGTCACTCGAACAGAGCCTCCTGCCTCCAACTTCTGATCAGTCTCCTGGTGAGTAGGATCCTCCCGGGCAAGGGGCGACGGTTTTCTGGAGAGGGCTGAGGGGACGGCGCTACTCGAAGCATAGGGAAGTTCACCCGAGGCAGGTTTCCAAGCAGGGCGAAGCTAGGTGTGTGTGCGGCGAGCACTGGCCCCAGGAGGGGCGCGTGGAGCGGCGGTCGCTTGCCTAACACTGGGAAGGGCCGTGCGGGTGTCGTCTTCTGTGGGGGAGCGGCTGCTGCAGCAAAGAGTCAGGGGAATGCTTTTTCTCTTCGAAAGACTCCCACAATCCATAGGCCGAGAATGCCGCTGACCCCCCTTTTAAGTAGCTGCCCTCTGCAAACTGCTTGAAGAGTTCATCCGAATAACGCAGAAATACCGAAAGGGGGACAAGTCCGCCGAAAGAAGCTGCGAAAGACTTGCCTCCCACAAGGCTCTGGCCATCAGAAAATATGGCTGGCTGCCTTGAAAGAAGGGGCTGTGAAATCCCGAGACTGCCCTCCGCCTGTTTACTCGGAAGCCCCACCGCGTCCGCAGGCGCTTCTGCTTCGAGCTTGTTTAAGGGCTGCAGCTTTAAAGTTGCCAGAGTCAAACTTCGCTGCGGCGTAAGGGATATTTTTGGTTTCACGGCGCTGGGGTAGCTGCCAGGGTTACCCCTGGCCACAGGCGGGGGATGGGAGGGAGGGTTGCCAGCTCCAGGTTGGGAAACTCCTGGAGATTTGGGGATGGAGTGTGTGGAGGACAGGGACCTCAGTGGGCTACAAGGCCACAGAGTCCACCTTCCAAAGCAGCCATTTTCTCCAGGGAAACGGATCTCTGTAGGATCTCTGTAGTCTAGAGATGAGCTGTAATTCCAGGGGATCCCCAGGTCTCACCTGGAGGCAGGCATCCCTATCTGGGACCCGAAGGAGTGAAAGAGAACTCTTTAAAATAGAGAATGCTCTTTGAAATTAAGTAGCATCTCTAGTGTTGGATGGATCTGTTTCAACCAGAATATGCCCTGCATACTTTTGGAGGGGAAGTGTGCTCTTGTGTATGTGAAGTGCCTTCAAGTCGCTGTTAATGTATGGCGACACCATAGGGGTTAGCTGCTTACTATTGTCGGTGAGATTGTCAATTGGTGTGTATATACTTCCGTACCACAACCGGCAGTGTGGTTTGCCTGGATGAAATGAAACTTGCGGTGGGCAAGGCCAACCTGTAGATAGAAGAGTAGTCTCTGTTTTTCTTCCGTTCTTCCACTTTGGCCTGAATGTCTCCGGTTGTTGATCTTTGAACCTGGCTTCGGTGGCTGAAGGGAAGGGGTTTGTAAACTGTAGTGATAAGGTTGTAAAGAAATGCAGGATGGGAGAAAGTTTCATAGGGTGACACAGACATACAACTGAAATAAAGTGTATGTACATTGCAATCCATTTGTCAAAGGCAAATGGGACCTATGTTCTTTATTAAGACAAAATAAAATAATGGGGAAATTTTGTTAATCAAATGGGGTATTAAGCTTTAGGTTTAAAGCTCTGGCAAATAAAGCTGTACCCTTGAAGGAAGGAAGAGTATAGGTATACATTTTATATTGTTGGGAATACATCTCTTGCTCAATGTAGGGTGGGTTTTTTTTTTGTTGATCCCTAGAAAGGGGCAACTCCGGTTGCTTGAAATTTGAGTTCCCCATTCCTTGAGTGACTATCCATTTCCTTCCAAAGGTTTTTCAGATGATTTCTGTGTTAAGAACTGAAGCTTATTTTTAATAAGGCTTGCAAATTTAGCACATTTCCATTCTCAGTAGTAGGTTGTCTACTTTTTTTATGTGTAATATATTAATAATAATTCATCTGTTCATGAATGTTACATCTCCTTCCCTAACCTACCCCTGCAAAACAGCAATCAACACATCTTTTGATAATGAAATGGCTAAACCATTGCCGTAATCAGGTGGACTTAACCGAAATAGCATTTCATAGCTGATTATGAACGCCTGGCTGTCTTTAAATAAAAACATGCCAGTTTCTTCATACACATTTGTGGTTGCTATGTTTGTTGGTACATTCCTGCCCCAAACTCAAGACCAGAGTTCAATTTATACAACATCAAGCAATAATGTTATTTAAATTATTTTATTTGGCCTTGAGGTCCTTAATGTTCTTACAGTGCAATGCTGAACAGAGTTACACCCTTTTAAGGGTGTAACTCTGTTCAGGATTACACTTAATCACAATGTACTTAATTTTAGGCAAAATAAGTGATTCATTAAAAATTACTTTGTTGACAACTATACAATATTTCTGATATGAATGTAGATTTAATTATACTATATTTTAGCACCAAAAAGAGCACGTTGTGTAATCAAACTGGCGGAAATGTTTGCTATTAATTAAAAAAGATATGAAATAAGTTTCATGAAATAAATAAGTTTATAAAAGATGATGCTAACTTTTAATGGGCTTTCCTGGTTATTTTATTTGGTACATTAAAACCAGACTTATTCTGCTTGGCAACAAGAAAGAATTTCTAAAAGACACTGCAGAAGCTCTACCAAAAGCACATCTGACAAAATCCTTCTTACCTCTATGACTACATGAGGGAAGGGGAACCTAGTCCAATGTTTTGTATGGGATCTAGCATCTGCTGCTTTATGGAGAGACTTGTAGCTGTGTACATTATTTCAACTCTGGTTCTGAAGCTTAGAGCCACCAAGCAATTTGGTTTCCTGAATGATCAACAATACTTTTATTTTATAGATCTTACTTTGAGGACTTTTCCTGCTCTAGTTTTAGTGTATAGTGCTGAGTGTTTGACATTGTAGTTCTACAGCAGTAACAGTTTTTTTGGGGGTGGGGGATGGCTGGTGAACAGGCTCCAGCACTTAGGTGCCTTATTTCCCAGTGTGTCTTAGTGATTTCAGTTGATCCTTGTTCTGACTAATGGACAGTCTAGTGAAGCTCACAGCCTTTATATGAAATAGTTCACAAGTAAGAACTGCCAACCTAGCAGTTCGAAAGCAAGAAATTGCAAGTAGATAAATAGGTACCACTTCAGTGGGAAGGTAACAGCGTTCCGCGCGCCTTGGTGTTTAGTCATGCCGGCCACATGACCATGGAAACGTCTTCGGACAGCGCTGGCTGTTTGGCTTTGAAACGGAGATGAGCACCGCAACCCTAGAGTCGGATTTGACTGGCTTTTGAGCAAGGGAACCTTTACCTTTAAGTTCCAGTGAAATCATGTGTCTTATTTTCAGATAAATTATTTACGATCAGTGTATAAGCATGCTTAAATTTCATTTGAAATCAAAGGATTTGTGAACATATCCCCTCTTCTTTTTGGTGATGCCAAATACTTTCAGAAACCCTTGTTATTGTGTATTCCTCTGTGCATCACTGAAGAGGCTTCTGAAGGACACTGTGTATGTTGTAATATAAGTTGCTACTTCTTTTTGGATTGAAATAGGAGATAGAATTGGGAATTCTATGCTTTAGAGATTCATGGATATTGAAGGCTTGTAATATATGTGTGCTAAACTACTTTGAGTATGAAGAGTACTATTATTATTACCAGTAATACATCATTCTACTAGGACCTATTTCTTACAAGCAATGCTGTCTTAAAATAGTGTGCAATTATGCAACTGGGTGGTGTGGCTGAAATCCTTTATTATGGAATTCAGTTGTATAGACTTCAATAAGACTACTCTTTAATAGTTTTAGTTGGGTTGGGTTCAGTTGTGGCTGCTGTTTTGCCTGCCATATTTTCACCACATTACACAAGGTGAATTTATTGCCACAGCTGTAATTCCGAGCCCATTCCTGATGAATATATCAATCCTTGGAGTTCTGAACCTAGCTTTGTCACAGTAATAATGCTGATGCAATGGACTATACAAAAATACAAGTGTTTTGGTCAAGGTGGGACAAGTGACCACTGACCCCTATGTAGTCTTTCTCTGCCACATATTTGATGCAGCCCTTACAAGGAGAAGAAGAAGAGATTGGATTTGTACCCCGCCCTTCACTACCCAAAGGAATCTTGGAGCGGCTTACAGTGCCTTTCCTTTCCCCTCAACAAACACCCTGTGAGGTAGGTGGGGCTGAGAGAGCTCTCTGCATAACTGCCCTTGAGAGAACAGCTCTGAAAGAACTTATGACTGACCCAAGGTCACACCAGCAGCTGCATGTGGAGAAGTAGGGAATCAAACCTTGTTCTCCCAAATTAGGGTCCGCGCTCCTAACCGCTACACCAAACTGGCTCTCAGTGTAAAGGTGGTCTGCTCTCCCTTTGAATGGGTGTTGCAAAACCCACCCCTTCCTCCCACCTCTCTCTATCCTGACTGATGTAGTGGAGTATCAGGTGTATTAAATGCTCAGCTAGAGGATATAGGGCAGCTAACCAAAGCCAGATTTTCTTTAAACTTTGTAACACATAATTTTTCTGAATCTGATTTTGTCAATCTTCTTTCTTGTCAATCTGATTTGCCAATATTCACACATTTCGTCAGACACAATGAAATGAAAGCTGCTTACCTTCTGCTGCTTCAGACCAACACAGCTACCAACCAGATTCTAGCTTTCTCTGAAGTATACTGAAACATTGCAAAGTGCATAAAGTTTATAAAATTATGTACAGAGTCTAGAAAGTAAACTTTTTCTCTATAGTACTAGAACTTAGAAGTTCTATTAGGGGTTCTATTGAAATGTATGGATAATAAATTCAGGAATGAAAAAAGGAAGTTCTTTTCCATATAATGAAAATTAGATTTTGAAACTTGCTATCAACTGAGGTATTTATTTATACACTTTATTTAAAACATTTTTGTGCTGCCTTTCTACCCACAATTTAAATCACTAGTCAGTAAGACTGGATTTAAATGATGGTTTTCTACATAAAGACTAATTCTTGCTTGTATAATCTTAATATTTACTACCAGATGGAGGTTTCATTTTTAGAATAATAACTTTTCAGATTAGTTTTACAGTTATAGCAAGAAATTACTGATTTGGTTATATTTTATTTATTTATTTATT